TAAACTATTACATGTCTATGAATCACTTTTTAAAGTCAATCCAATATATTTTTTTAACTTTTCTATTACAGCCGTATGTTTCACATTATCTGTGATGTTTACTTCGTTATTATTGTTCTTTTTTTGTATACAATTGGATTCACACAAAAGTTTAGAATGAATATCTAGATTGTAAATAATTTGTTAGATTGAATTTTTTTTATTAAGACAAATACCATTTAAATTCTTTCAGAAAAGAAAAATACTTTAAAAATATTTTTTTTAAATTCCACGAAATTCAGGTCATTTAATTGGAAATGAACAATTTACCTTTTAATCTTCTCGGCCAATCGAATTTGACTAGGTGACAACATGCTTTTTCATGTCTCCAAAAGTTGATTCTTGTTAACCCGGATGTACTGCTAAGGGACAGCAATTTGCACTCCCGGAAAGAAATTCATTACGTTGAATTTGTTAAAGATTCTAAATGTATCTAGTAATAGGATAATTCGTTAAAAGACAGTTTTAGTTTAACAAAAAGTCAACGGTAAACGTAAAAATTTGTGTAAATTCAAAACCGAGTGGTAACGTCAATTTAATGTCGTCAACGTAGCACGGTCTCCAGTTGCATCCTATTATTCTGAAGATTTTTTTTAAATACGACGCCTTCAAAACACATTAGTACCGATAAACTGAATGTGGAACACTTTTTGGGACATAAAATTGTCTGAATACTGGTGTTACACCACAACTCTACTATAGTATATAAAAATAAGGAGATTCTGCTGCACTTTTTATGAGAAATAGATTGTGATCTTCAGCACCGATTTTAGAAGTAGGAAAAACAAACTTAGAAAATAGCTGTTATAAATAGCTGTTATAAATAGCTGTTATACAATCTGTGGTTAATTAAATCGGACATATAGTAAATAATGTGGAAAGAAACTCGATTTATTTTTTAAATTGAAGCACTGAAATTAAAGGGATTGTTAAAAACATCGGGCATATACTGCACAAAGTTGAGTTAGATGTTAAATAAAACCATTTCAAACATTACAATTTTGAAAACTGCAGTATTGCAACATGAACATTGTAATAAAAACATTAATTGTGTAACATTGAAGTTGATATTTCGAGTTAAAGTGGCGCTAAATCAAAATCACCTCATCATTACTGGAATTCAATTTCATCGGAAACATAACACAGAGAATACACTCAATTCTTTTATCAAAGATAAGTTTAATATTGACAAAAAGAAGACTACATGTGAGCTCATCGATTAGAGAAAACAGGTCGCAGGGGTACTCGACCCATTTTATCAAAATTGAACTTGTACTTTAAAACGGAAAAAGGAAAAAAAAAGTCTTACAAAAACGACAACTTTTATACCCGGTCGAAATACAGGTCAATAGGAATACAAGAAAATTTCTCCTGGAGACTATGCTTCGTTCAAACCAAATACGTTCTGAAGGAGCTGGGAACGAAAATGTAGAAGATGCATTTGCTTCGAGTATTATTCAGGAGACGATGCTGGAAGAAATAACTCTTAATTCCCAGTTTTATACACAAAAACAAAGTTATTTTACTTTTAAAAATTTGAAAAGGAACCGTTATTTTGTTAAACTATTACATTTCTATGAATCATTTTTTAAAGACAATCCGATATATTTTTTTCCAATTAGAAACTTATTTTTCCCCCATCTCTTTGATCAAGGTTTACTTCGTTATTATTGTTTTTTTGTATACAATTGAATTCACAAAGGATTCCAGATTGAATATCTAGATTTAATTTTTTTATTTAGACAAATACGATTTAAATTCTTTCAGAAAACAAAAATACTTTGAAAATAGTGTTTTAAAAACCACGAAGCTCAAGTCATTTAATTCGAAATGAACAATTTACCTATTAATCTTCTCAGCCAATCAAATTTGACTACCCATAACTTATCATGCGAAAAAAACCGTCACCCGAAAGTAATTCATCTGCCAAGTAAAGGAGGAAATCAAAATTGTAAGTTAAATCTTTACACTTTTCAGGAAAAATATGAAATAAATACCATCAGCTGTCGTAATCTATTAAAATATTCACGACTTTTGTTCTAAATGTGTGTAACTTTGAAAATTATTGGAGAAAGACAATTTTCGGTATTGAATTGTGTTGAACACTGCTAATATAAACGAATCTTCAATTTCAATATTCATGGTAACCATATCTTGCTACAATATAACAAATTTTCGATTTTGTTATGCACAGTGAGTTTTCTCAATTTTGTTTATTTGTTTATTTCACTTAATTTGTATTGCAGTAACTAGTTTTACAAAGGATTGATATTTGAAAAAAACTATTTCAGCTCAAGGATTTGTACAGTGAGACCACTATTCAAATCCTATTCAAATCCTTTTTCCAGCCCTATCAAATTTGTTTTGCTTCTCCAAGGTATGAACAATTTTTATACTATACAAAGAAAACAAATATTAGTTGAATATCTGTTATTTGTAATATTGCTGGCAAATTTCGGGATAACATACAGTTTGCAATAGTTTGTTAATTTTTTGTGTTAAATCTATGAATTAAAGCAACAGTAATATACCGCTATTCAATAGTCATGAATCGATTAATCGAAAACAAATCCGGGTCACAAACCAAAACCGAGGGAAAAATATCAACTGCAAGAGGAAAACAACGGAACAACAGAAACACTGAACTGCAACAAAAACAAACGCCAACATACATAGAAACGGACTTTTTAATAGCAACTGCCATATTCCCGACTTGGTATAGGACATTTTTTTTTAGAAAAAATGGTTGGTAGAACCTGGTTTTATTGCTAGCAAAACCTCCCGCTTATATGGCAATGTTAAAAATACCGCTAAAATGACAACATTACGTGACAGGAACACAGCACAAATAAACGTAAGAACACTCAGGACAGAGAAATGCATAAATAAATAATATAATTATAGTACATTACAACATGTAAACCACAGAATAACAACGGACACCTCCCATGAATAACTTCTGAATTACAGGCTTCTGACTTGGGACAGGCACATAAAGAATGAAGCGGGTCTTAACTCTCTTTACTCTTAACTTTGTTACTGATTTTGCATCCAATTATTTTGATTTGAGAGCCCTGAAATATTTAAGTTGACAAAATGTGTGTCATGCGTTCAAAATTATAAACCAGATATCCTTGACGTGTTTTAACATTACAAAGAAGACCTCCTGTTATTCACATTAATTATCTACACAAAAAATCGAAATCGATGACATCCAATAACTAGATAATGTTTGCCAACGACGAGAACTCAAAGCGTAATTGCGATAAATGCGGCCGATTGAATTCTGAAAGATTGGTAATTATAATTGGAAGCAGCACGTATTGTCACTGGTCAAAAACGCTACGCTAGCACTTAATCACTCTATTTAGAAACGGCATGGGAAAATTTAAAGATTAAACGGGAAGTTAAAAAAATTAACTCTATTTAAAAAAAAAATAAATGAGGATGTTCCAGAATACTTTTTATTTAATACCTCCTACCGTCGCAGGAACAAACAATTATAATCTATGAAGTAGTCAAAATATATACCAAACTCCCAGCAGATTGTCCCTTTATCAAAAATCTTTTATTTCATCTAGTATAAATTTGTGGAATTCTCTCGATATAAATTTAAAAATGAACTCACTTTAAATACATTTAAATTAAAAAACCTACAGAAATTTAAAAATAACAAATCACTCCTATACATTACACATTTGGTGATAGACATTTAAATGTTTTGCGCGCAAGATTAAGAAATAAATGCAGTGCGCTTAACATTAACTTCGAAAGAAATTGTTCAATTCACCTAAAGACAATTTGATTTTATATATAATATCCTATTAGTTTACAACAATAATTTAATTGCTTAAAAAAAAACTTGCCTTTAGAATGAATATTATTCCCAGATTAAACATCCTACTTGGTTTTTGATCAATAAATTTACGGTCAACTCGACTTTAAGAAATCGAAGATTCACGTCGTTTCAATTCTTGTTCATTTCATGTCTCCATATTAATATTGTATATGATGTTATTCACATGTATTTAATTTGTTCAATTATTTATGGTTCTTATACGGATACGTCCTCGATACGTGAGTTCTGCAACAGCTTTTATAAATAATAAAATTTAGCGTATTTATTTTAATTCTTTTAAATCATTTTCTGTATTTCACTGTTCATGGACTTAATTTTTTGTAGCCAATATTACACTTTTTCGCTGACAGCAGCAGTCGTACACGAGACACACGAATAAGAATAAACCGATATGAATTGTTTTATATCGTTTGACAGGGTTTTCAGAAATAGCAATTCGAAGTCACATTATTTAACGTTTTTTACGATATAAACATGCATTCTATCTTTTTTACTTGTATTTATCTCGTATTTAATTTGTTATATATCGGAAATTTCAAAATATCATTATATGTTATTCAGGTTTCAGATATGGTATATAATATGACATTTCCAGTTACGGTTTTGTATGTACGCTGGCATCTCTCTATAGTTATCAAATCACTTAATTGCTATAATACAATAGTTGACATACAATTATTTAAAATTATGATAAAAGACAAAATCACCATGATGCAATATTAAAAAATATTGATGGTTTCAAACAGCTATTATGACAGGGTACCGTCTTTATAATAGCTTACTTTTAATGGGGAAATACTTGTAGCAAAGTAGAGTATTGCATGTGATTGCCATTACAGATGTACTATGGGACCCTATAGGAGACCATACATTGTATGATATTTGCTGTGTCGTGTATTTCGTATTTTGGAAAGCTGCTACCCTCACATGTCACATGTGTAAAAGTACATGTATATTATAAATTAAAACTTGATGGGACGGCTTGGTAAGTTACATCATCATCATTTATGACATACAAAACAGAGCTGATATGACAGGTACATATATACTGGCTTCAACTAACAGTAAATATAGAGTTTGCTTTTGTTATGATTTTAGCAGTGTGAACCCAATCTCTAATAACATACCAGACTGATTATGGCAGGAGAACTTATATCGTAAGTACAGAAAAATAAGAAGTAGGAAATACCAAAAGGAAAATCAAATTTCATAAGTCGAAGAGGACTTACAAAATCATGACAAAACTTATGAAACGATGTAAAAAAAGAACAAAAATCTACAAAACACTACATAAAAACTAAAGACTGAGCAGCACGAATTGCACTAAAACGGGTATTATCTTATGTGATCCGGAATGGTAAGCAGAAAATTCATCGACTTTATTTCTTGTTCTTTGTATTCTTTTATTAAGTTGTTAAGTTGAAGTTCGTATAAACTGTTACATTGAAATCGTTTTATTTTAAGCAACAGCTCACATATATATTTCCGTAAAGATGAATTTTCAGCATGTTAGCACATCTGCTCTAAAGTACAATACATAGGTTTTGCTTAATTTTTGTTTTTGGTTTGGGGGTGGGGGGTGGGGGGTGGTCCGTCGCCTTAACGTATATCCAAAACTTGTATTCATATTGCTGTATATAAATCAGTTTTGATTGCGCAGTTTAAAATCCAGAAGTGCTAACGGGAATCGAAGCGATGTGCCTTGTGTGCTCTTACTCTAATATTTAAATGTTTACTGACTTAATTTGATGCAAAAAAAAAAAACTAAACAAATAAATATATGACGTAAAAATGCGAAGTACTGTATTCTTTATATATATATATATCTATAAACAAGTCTAAATTGAAAACAACGTTCTATCCTATGATTGCGTTGGATAAAAACCGCAATTTTTATACGTGTGCATGCAAAACAAATTTCTTGGTAGAGGGGTCTAAATACAGCACAAACAACATTTTCCAAAAGACCAAATGAGTGAAAAAGTATATTTTAACAAAACGCATTTGACTAGCAGGTCGAACAACTGATGTTCTTAAACCCTGCTGACTGCCATTGGCGATTGCCAAATAAACGGATCACCGATGTAATAAATGGATCTCAATTATAAATTTAATACTAAACAGAAAACAATAAACTTGCGGAAAAGATGGTATACCGCAAACAAAAGGTGCAAAGGTTTTTGTACACCATATCCGGATTTCGACAATTAATGTCTCTTCAGTGATGTTAGGAATCGAAACGGTATTTGGAAGGCCATATAATTTACCTCAATTTAGGATAGACTCTTGAATTTTGAAAGAGTCAAAATAGGATGAACGGATCATATAAACCCGAAGGCAAATATAATACAAGCCCAAACGAAAAAATATAAACAAGTCTAAATTGAAAACAACGTTCTATCCTATGATTGCGTTGGATAAAAACCGCAATTATATAATACATATATACATCATTACAGGATGCCAAATACTGATGATTGGGGTTGTATAGAATGGATTTGTTGTATATTCCTAGGAGTCCTGTTGTTGCCATTCTTTTTGGTTCTCTTTGTAAGTAATAAATGATTTCATTGCTGAATGATATTGTATACCTAAATAGACTCCGAATGCGTAAGAAATAGTATTATCTTAAAGACATTCTGTAAAAAAATGTAAATAAACTAAAGTATTACACAGTTAGCGATTGCTGAACGCTTAATAGATGGTTGAAACATGAAAAGTTGTGAAGCAAAAAAGAAAACAACAAGTAAAACCTTTCAAAAACACGATAATTCTGCCTATTCAAACAAAAATTACAAAGGAGAAAAACAAAATGAAAAAAATATGAATATAAAATACAGAAAATGAAAATAAAACATTGGTTGTCATTAATGTTTATAAATGTATGTTACAAATTCCCTGCAATGGTCCATGTAAGTCGTAGGACGACCTGTTAAGAGCAGTGACAAATCTGAAGATTACATAAAAGTCATTGATGGTGAGGTACATCTAGTTAAACAATAACTTATAAATTATTAATATAATTCTGTTTCCATATTCAATGATAAGATTCATAACTAGTTTCCATTGGATATCGCTAAATATCAACTCGAGTTATTTAATTTCAATATAATAACAAACGAACCCTTTGCCGTAAAGATTTGGTGTCAATCAATTCTTAGTGTCAATTTCTAGACTAGATGTAAGTCAAGATATGAGACCAACGTACCTGAATATGTGTATCTGTGGTATCTTTAATTTCAAGTTCGATATAATAAATGCTGATAACAAAGTACAGTTGGGATCAGTTCTAGCTTCTCTTCCGAACTGTCAGAATTATCTGTCATAGAACTGTTTTAAATTGTTCTAGAACAGTCCAAGTGTTCGAGGTTAGAACTGTCAAAAATGTTTTAGGATAGAACAGTCCTATACCATACGTAAATAAAAGCATTCTTCTGATCGTAATTTAGAACAGGGGCAGTTAGCTAGATTTCCCATGTGAGTCGTATTTTAGATAATGAGTTAAATAGTGTGCGATGTATATTTTAGTTCATTTATTTCTCCATGTTCGTAATAAATTTGTGTATATAAAATATTTGTTTTCGTATATAGTAATGTTTAAGCATTGAGACCATATACTCTTAGTTATTCCGTTATCATCATCAAAAGTACAAGTCATATATTTGCTTTTAACAGAAAGACATTTGTATTTATACAGGTCGAGGTTCATTTTCGGGGTGATTATTACTGGTAAAATGTTTTTGAATACACAGGGACCATATCGTTTTTAGAGAATTTTGATTCGCCACAAATAATTTGCGAAAATGCTACGTTTGCGACACTTTGTTTTCAAAATACCTAGTATTATTTGCGCAAAAATATAGAGTATCATTAAAGATAAGAATAAAAACTATAACTTCCTTCCCGCCTTATCCTGGCTTAGAACTTGCACTGGAAGTTTGCACTGATGGAGGTGAATTGAGGTCTCAACCTGTATCATTTAAGTATTTTGCAACTGCAAATATTTCTTTTCCTGTGTTATGTCGGCTTCCTACTGCTAGTGTATAAGTATTTTTAGTAAATTTTGGTTTGAAATTGCTCGTAGATTCGACCCTTAGCTGAGTCGAACAAAAACTTTAGAATTGGTCTTTACTGCTTATCCAATTAGCACGCGGCATTCAAGAGTAATAACAAAGACTGGTCGTGTGTCCGAGTAGTGTGAAATGTCTTCTTGCAGAGTGTTACCTTGTGAATTAGCACAGTTAAAACCGGCTTATCGTGTGGGTCAACTAGCAAAGCAGGGTTCATATTCATGGTGCATTAATACGTTTTCGTTCTGAATTTGCATTAGTGCTGGACGTTAAACATCCATCCATCTATCATCATCTGAAATCAAGTGTATATTTTGTTTGTACTACAAAACTACCAACCCAAACAGAATTAACAATACATAAATAAACTCATCATATATATACCAGGATTGAAATTTTATATTTGCGCCAGACGCGCGTTTCGTCTACAAAAGACTTATTAGTGACGCTCGAATCAAAAAATGTTAAAAAGGCCAAACATAGTACGAAGTTGAAGAGCATTAAGGATATAAATTTCTAAAAGTGTTGCCAAATACAGCTAAGGTAATCTATTCCTAAGGTAGAAAAACCTTAGTATTTCAAAAATTCAAAGTTTTGTAAACAGTTAATTTATAATTATGAACATATCAATGATAACTTAAGTCAACACAGAAGTGCTGACTACTGGGCTGGTGATACCCTCGGGGAATGTAAACTCCACCAGCAGTGGCATCGACCCAGTGGTTGTAAATAAACTCATCATAGATACCAGGATTGAAATTTTATATTTGAACCAGACGCGCGTTTCGTCTACGATAGACTCATCAGTGACGCTCGAATCAAAAAATGTTAAAAAGGCCAAAATAAAGTACGAAGTTGAAGAGCATTCAGGACCAAAATTCCTAAAAGTTTTGCCAAATACAGCTAAGGTAATCTATTCCTAAGGTAGAAAAGCCTTAGTATTTCAAAAATTCAAAGTTTTGTAAACAGTTAATTTATAATTATGAACATATTATTGATAACTCAAGTCAACACAGAAGTGCTGACTACTGGGCTGGTGATACCCTCGGGGAATTAAAACTTCACCAGCAGTGGCATCGACACAATGTTTGTAAATAAACTCATCATAGATACCAGGATTGAAATTTTATATTTGCGCCAGACGCGCGTTTCGTCTACAAAAAACTCATCAGTGACGCTCGATACACAGACAGATTGACAAACAAAATTTCATACCTAAGCGCTTTGTTATTTTCTTTGTTGACATAGTTATTTGTTTTTATAGTGATTAAGATTAAAACACAATGTTGACTGCTGTACCCCCGATATTGACATTTTTACCTACTATGTCTGTTTGTTTTGCCTACACATTATGGTCAATTTAAAAGATTTTGTGCACCTGTAACAAAAGTGAGAGGTTTTTCTAGCTATAAAACTAGGTTTAATCCACCATTATCCACATAAAGAAATGCCTGTACCAAGTCAGGAATATAACAGTTGTTTTTCATTCGTTTGATGCTTTTGATTTTGCCATTTGTTAAGGGACTTTCCGTCTTGAATTTTCATTGGAGATCGGTATTCTTGTAATTTTACTTTTAACAGAAAAAATGTAATATAGATCGAAATAAAATATGTAAGCATGCATTTTGCAGATTATCATATGTTGTGCGTCGATGTGTACAAACAATGCCGTTGGTGATGGTTAAGAATTTCTAAGAACGTCACAATGATAAAGTAAGTAGCAGGTATAAGAATAAGACAATAAAAGTTTAGAAGTAGTATCTAAAAATAATAAAAAGTCAAAAGAAGCAATTAACAAGCAATACACTCGTTATAATGTATCAGTATTTCGTTGATCGATCAGGGTACGGTAGCGGTTTTCCAGAACCAAGACTCATGCAAAACCGGAATATTTTCTCAGAACTATTCAAAGACATGCACAAATATGTCGTTGCTTGTCATCTCAATCCCGTAAAAATAAGATAAAAAACGAACCTGAACAACAAATATTCAATGTTTGCATTATTAGAGGAGTGTGTAGTTTAGACAAGACGCCATCTTACTAACCATTGAGATGACCTCCGAAGAACACCGATGTTCCTTGACCAAAAATTATCATAAATATAAATATAAATAAACAAGCACGTGCAATCGTATAATGACGATTTTTCTAGGTCTTTTTGATTAAATTTGTATGTCAATCATTGTTTATACCTGTATAATAAGGATTTTTTTATGGGTCGAATCAGTCAACGTCTCCAGTTAAGGGTGGAATGAAAGGTCGCATGAATACGGTTTCAAAAGAGGTCGATTTGTTGACTTGCAAGTCAATAATACATCAGCCTTTGATCTTTATTTAAAGATTCCCCTTTTTAAAAATGTTTGAAGAAAAAAAACCAAGTCTAAATCGTAGCTACATAATACCCCTTTAAAAGCAACAACACGTCAGACCACCATGCTCCGTGTATACTAATTTATGAGGCTGAGGACAGACATTCGATAATTTCTTTATGAATTCTATTTCATTCCGACTAAAATTTGGTTGCTTTTAAACCTGTTCAATTAATTGAATATATATAGATATTGATGCATAAAGACACTAAGGTTCCAACTCCCTCAGGCAAAGTTGACTTTAAATGAATATGGCTATTGTTTAAGATCCCCTTAGGTCATAGAGTTCCTAACGTTTCTACATCGCTTGCACATGTTTGGGTTGGAACTTTCATGATAAAGGTAAATATTATGATATATTTCTAACATTTTTTAATTAATCTTATATATAAACGTATTTAGTTTGCTCTTTTCGAAAATTGCCTTTGTGTGACATAAAATTTGGAATATTGAACCTACCTCTATTATCACTTTTATCTGTGAAAGGCACACGTAATTTACCAGACAAATAGTATAGTAATTTTAGAAAGTTTCATGTTATTCGTTCTATAAAGAAAGTAAGCTCAAATCCTAATTCATAAAAGGATAGGATTAGTTGCTAAGGAAATATAAAGTTTTGAAGATTTTGGTATTCTAGGATCATTTATGTATTTTTTTGTCTGGAGTAGCATGTATTAAAACGGTAACAAAAATTATCTGAAGAGGTGAACTTTGGAAATATGTTCTTATCGGGCTATTTTATGGTGAATTGAATGGTCCGGATGAAAAATGGATATGTTTTTATACACCATAGAGCTCTGTAGCAGAATTTTGCAATTAGGAAACTGTTTTCTTAATTTGTTAATCAGTTTAGCAATTGTTTAATAATGAAATAGTCTAATTCTCCTTGAAATTTGTCAATGTCTATGGACATATTCCTTAGTCAAATTATGTCCTCCTAGAGGACTCACCCGCTATAAAATTGTGAGGATTTCTGGAATCTTGGAAATATTGTCCATGAAAAATTTGTTGGTTTCTTGTCTAAACATTTATTGTTATTTATCATAAACAATATTTATAACATTATTTTTCAATACAAATGAAGTAGCCTTTCTACATAATTCTCTTTTCTGATTATCAGCAATTCCCTCGGCTCTATGACTTATATATTCCAAAAGTTGCCTGTATTCCATGTCATCCTTGAGGTGCAAACACTTATGTTACTTGTATAACTGTATTTTTTAAATATTTATTTGGCTAGAGTTTGTTTATAATTATCAGTAAAATAAACACTTTAATGATATCATTGTCCAAAATATTCATTTCTTGAACCTCCCTTTAATGAGAAAAAGTTTAGAGAATTCCATGAAATATTGTATCGATATAGACAAAATATAACTTTACCACACCTCTTTAACTCGGCAAAATTTTATTGCAAACCATCTGTGAAATATTGTCTATTGTACAGACAAAACAAAATGAAATTTGTCCTCCTCTTGACATTATTTCAAAGACGGGGATATATAATCATGAAATTTTGTCCTAGGGACGCTAATTCGTAGGACAAGATTTTGTTTTACCCAATTATATATATCACATATTCGCCATCAAATATTTTGTTACCTATGTATTCCTTTTACATTGAACAGTTCAATCAGTATCAACAGTTCTATCAGTACCATCAGCTCAGTAGCCAGTACTTCGGTACTGACATGATTTATACCAAATTTATAAATCAAAATTTTTAACAAAAACTAATAAGGTTTCAACTCAATCAGGCAAAGTGGACATTAGACGGAATTGGCTATTATTTTAGGTTCTTTATGTTCATTTAGCTCTTCAAATGGTTTTATTCTTAAACATCACTGCCCTTCAAATATTCGTATTTGAGCGTTCCCGATGAAGGTAAATCCAGAAAAGCGCTTCGGACGCATGCAATTTAGAAAGTGTTGTTTTAATTCTTTACAGCGCTTGGTCGATACCGCTGCTGTTGAAGTATCATTTCCCAAAGGTATTATCAGCACAGTAGTCAGAACCTCGGTACTGACATGATTTATAACAAACCTTTTTTAAACTATCCGTTTTTATAATTTTAAAAATAGGTACATCCTTAGGCAAAGCTGCTCTTTGATATATTTGGCTATTATTGTAGGTCCTTTATTGTCACATAGCTCTTCAAATGTTTCAATTCTTAAATATCCTTGGCTTTTAAATATTCGGCTCTGAGTGTTCCTGATGAAGGTTAATCCAAAAAAGTGCTTCGGCTTGTTTTCATTGTTTTTCGAACAAAAGCAGGATTCTCTATATTCGTGAAATGTCGTAAACTGTCAGTGGCACTGAATAACGTGTATTCCAATTAATTATCAGAATAATTACATAAAGATGAGAAAAAGTATTTCCCTGTATTTGTTTCTCTAATAAGGCCGAAATCAAACAATCATGATAACCTACTATAATCTGGATTTAAACAATCTCAATAATGTACTAAAAAGTTTTTAGAAATCTTATATATAACATAGAAATGCCATTCAGGGCATCGGGGCTACAATAAAATGTAACAAAAAATTACGTCCCATGGTGAAGAAACGGAGCAATATCCTAAATTAAAAAAAAAAACACCAAAAAACAAAAAAAAATTCAACTACTTTTTATTTTTTTTTCAGGAATCAGAAGAAGCTGTGATATTTTTCGTCTGTGATAAACCAACTTGTTTTTCCATTCTATATAGAATATAATAATAGAGTATAATAATGAAATGTCTGTCTTCCTATGTAGTGTGTTAAAAATGTGATTTGTTTTTTCCTCCTACAATAACCTAGCACTTATGAATTTTTGTGACTTCATACGCACATACACGCAAGTATGCATATGGAATAAAACCACTAATTCATAGCCCCATTGCTTTCTATGTTAAATTCTGCAATTTCAAACATTAATGGCTACTTTGTCTTAAGTTAAAATAAATAGGCAGTCATTTGATGTCAAAACTAGACCTTATCCGGACTTGTGCTGAAAAATTCAACATACCTTTAATTACATATTAGAGCGCACTGGTTCCCGGAATTTTGTTAGTACAAAAACTGGAGCTTCTAATCTGAACAATAGGGCAAATGTACCCTCCTATTATAATTTCATGTATTTTGTTTATCATAAAAAATAAACTTTCGACAAGGGTTCTACAGTGGACCCAAGTCATTAAGCTTTCATTTGATACCAGAATTATCCAAATATTTTACTTATTGACAAAGTTACAGCTATGCGTAAGAACTATTTTGTTTAAAAATACATACTACTTTCTGGTATGTTCTCTCTGACCGGGCCCTGATTAGTGGTTCTATACAATTAGCATAAATGTAATACTGCAAAAATTGTACTTTCAATCATGTTTTGTTCAGAAATTTAAGAAAATTAAGAATGTTATTTTCATTATACAATGTAACACCTGGAAATTGACTTTTTAAATTTTGAAGATATGTAAAAAGAAATGTATGCAACAGGCGACCTGCGTTTTATTGGTTTAAAAGTTGTGCATTAGAGTAATTTGCACTTAATAAAACATAGATATAAGAAGATGTGGTGTGAGTGCCAATGAGACAACTCTCATCCAAGTCAAAATTTATAAAAGTAAACCATTATAGGTCAAAGTACGGTCTTCAACACGGAGCCTTGGCTCACACCGAACAGCAAGCTATAAAGGCCCCCAAAAATTACTAGTGTAAAACCATTCAAACGGGAAAACCAACGGTCTAATCTATATAAAAAACGAGAAACGAGAAACACTTATGAACTACATCAACAAACGACAACTACTGGTATATATCTAACTCAAATTGGACATATTTATAAAAATAGTGATTACTTCTTGTGCGGTTATCTATGATTATTTTATTAATATGAAGTACTTTTAAAGAAATGTAATGTTTTTTTATGATAATTGTTAATTTGATAATACAAATTCAGAAGTAAATTGACATGCCCTCCAAACAAATGCTATTCTTTGTTTTTATTATAATAACCGAACCCGATATGTTTTTCTTAATTATTTAGTAAATATTTTTTTCAAACCCACGACGAGTCTTATGAAGATGGAAAGCTCGTCAAGCTTATTACATTATAAGCCTTATATCCTTGATCAGTTTTTAGAACCCAAGGTAAAAGCATACAAAAGTTGCCAGGTAAAATAAAAAAAAGGCTTCTTTTTAGTCAAACTCAATTCACATTAACATAGAAAGGGTAGCATATTCTAATAAAAACAAACATTCTTCTAAAGGTTACATTCCTTAAAAGCGGTTGCGGTGTCTTTAAATCCGAAAAAACTATCACAATAATAATGGTCAGAATTGCTAAACGGTTACAAGACATCAGACGGAATAAAAAATTATTGATTTGTGTCAATTAGTAAACTAAGGTTTAATATACTTTGTTCGTTCTTTGGCAAAAGCCGTATATTCAGATATATAGTGAAACTCATAAAATCAAAATTTCAAAAAGTCCAAAAGAAGCAATTAACAATACATGTATTCGTTATCATGTATCAGTTTTCTTGCGTATTTTAGACAAGACACTATCTAATTAACCATCCAAATGACATCTAAAGGCTGTCGATAGTCAACGACCCGATTTAAACATAAATATAGATATGAATAAACTCATCACTGATGCCAGGATTGAAATTTTGTACGTCAGACGCGCGTTTCGTGTTCAAACGAATCATCACTGACGCTCAAATCAAAAAAAGTTTAAAGGGCAAAATAAATTACGAAGTTGAAGAGCATAGAGGACAAAACATGCAATCGTTAAATGATGATTTTTTGTTATGTCTGTTTGATTTCATGTCAAGACTAAAACATATATAAATCATCGTTTATCTGTATAAACACGCTTATCACATGCGTAACCCACCTCTAACTGTGGGTTATATTTAAGATTGACTGAATAAAATTCAAATGAGTTTGCAAGCCAATAATACACCAGTGGTGGTTTTTGAACTTATTTGACAAAATTGAACCATTTTGACTGCTAACAGCGAAATATTATTTCAATATTCCGCTTTGATTGTTTAAAAAAAAATCATATTATTATTAAATATTTTTTTTGTATAAATCGTAGCTAATGCTCCCGTATCAGATTTAAAATTTGTAAAAAATTATTCCGATTCCCCAAAAAATCTCTGAAACTGACATAACAAGATGATTGACAACATATTTGTTACATTTGGAGGACGTGTTTTTCAATAAACAATCGACATTCCCATAGGAACCAACTGTGCTCTTCTTCTTGTCGACTTGTTCCTCATTCATATGAGGCTGACTTCATATAGGAACTTCTAAGGACGAATGAATAGAGGCTAGCATTATTCCTTAATTTCACTTTGCGGTATATAGATGATGTCCTCACACTAAATAATTCAAAGTTTGGTGACGACATTGTATGTTGAACACATCTATCCTATCGAACTTGAAATAAAGAATACAACTGATACAGTTAAGCCTGCCTCATGACTTCATCTAGAGATTGACAATGAGGGTCGGTTGAGAACAAAACTTGACGACAAAAGAGATGATTTTTAAGTAGCAACATTCCAGAACCGCATGCATATGGAATATATATCTCCTATTTCAGGGCTTGCGTTTCCTATCAAGATTTCCTTGATAAAGGTTTGTTGCTCACAAGGAAGATATTAAACCAAAAGTTCCAAGTGGTGAAGTTGAAATCTTCCCTTCGAAAATTGTACGGACGCCATCACGAGTTGGTTGATCGTTATGGAATATCTGTTTCACAGAAGACGACGGATATGTTCCAGTCCTCGTAACCACAATCCTGTACTCTTTTTTTCGACTGTGACCTACTGAATTAAACTTATAATCGAGTGTGTACTTACATGAGCGACACGACGGGTGCCACATGTGGAGCACCTGAGACCAGACCCGGTTTGTAGGGGGTTTCGTGTTGCTCATTCTTTAGTTTCTATGTTTTGGTTCGTGTTCTTTGTATACTGTTGTTTGTCTTTTGGTGTTGTCAGTTTGTATTTTGTATCTTTCGCCTCTCTATTTAACATTATTTTTGTCAACACTAAAGATAAACAGATATAATTCAATTAGAGTGCCATTCAATTGGTTAAAATACCATTGATTGCCATGGGATAGGCCCTAGATTTTAAATTTAAACGGAATAAACGTCATTAAAAAATTGAAACTATGCCCAGTATCATGCAAATGTTTTTGTCTTGAAGTAGTTCTGTTTCGTCGGTCGTCGTATGTCAGTTAGATATCTTTAGGTAATAGGTACTTAAAAGGGCAATCTAACGGATTTTTATGATATTTTGCAGTGCACGTTGATCTTTTAGAACCGCTTATAAATAATCAAAAGTATGCAAGTTAATTTTAGACATTCGGAGATAAAGCAATATGAATATTCTATAAAACGAAATACAAATATATATATATACAATGTATTAGGAAACATATAAATAACGCAAACACTATTAAATAATTTGACTTTTCTCAACAACGTTAACTACGCACTTTTATTTAAAAAAAATACTGAATACATGTGCATGTAAGTCAATTTGAATTTGTAGTTTACAACTTAAAAAGCGACTTTAAACATAATTGAAATTTATCATGTTGTAGTGTTGTTCCTAATATAGAAACTGGAAGACACGCCACAATATATGTGTGCACAATCGAAACCAAAGAAATATGGATGATATTAACATACAAATGAATGTCATAATTTGACAATAATAGTCTACAATTTTGATCCAGTATGGACTTCCCCAAACATGTCTAGCCGTCTGACTAGCCAGCTGATTGCCATTTGATTAGAGACTTTCCGTTTTGAACTTTCCTCGGAGTTCAGTATTTTTGTGATTTAACTTTTTTTTTGTTTGGTAGACAAACATTGTCAACTCATCAGACCAAATGTCCGGTAAATTAAAATTATGTGATCATATATTTTGCAGCCCAAATCAATCATATTTAAAAGTTAAGATGTGGTTTTTCTCATTCCCATTACTGCATTAACATCTTAAATATTATACCCATGGACTGTTTCTTTATAAATTCAAATTTATTATGTAGAAAAACCGCAAAATATTTGAAAACATTAAGACTTTGAGTCTATTTTAACAAATTAAGCATGTGCTAAGTACTGGATACAGAGTTTAAATTTAAACCGGTTTTGGGGGAATAACAGTTATTTTCCAGATTTGGTCTGACTGGTTTTTAGTCGGTCAGATGAAGCATTGCTATATGTCTGACAAAATATCCAAAAGTCCTTTAAACTTGATGAATTTCTGGGAGGTTGCTTGCAAGGGGTGACAATTTGTTGTCTCTATATTTCATATTTAGAACCCCATTAATTTCTATTCTTTCGTTTTTTAACTTTAGGGTTCTCATTTTTTTCTGGTTTATGATTCTCTTTTCTAAAAATCCCCTTAAAGACCATCTTAGGCAGTATTGCCTCGCACGAATTTTGTAAATAATTTTCAGTGTTCCAACAAAAAAGAGAAGTTATTAAGATATTCTCGTCTTTCGCACTATCATCAAATAGCATACAATAAGATAGACTGCACATGATTTGGGAAGTTCCGAAGTTTACCAAAAGAATGTTACGCGATCATTTGATGATACTTTATTATCAATGAAATCTTTGCAAAATTCATTATATAGCCACTTGTCTTACATGATATCAGTAAGAAAGATCATGACATGGTAAACATGTGTACACAGTTACAGTAACAGTTGATTGGGGACTTTCCTTTTTGAATTTTCCTCGGAGTTCAGTATTTTTGTGATTTTACTTTTTACATATACAATTCTGTTATAAATATAGATCTACATCGTATGAAAAGATGATGACCCAGATCATGAGATCTTCTCGCTTTAGATGCACATTTGAGTTTACATCTCTTAAAAGAAGGATTATTACCTACTGCCGAATAGCAAGACGGAACCCAAATAGAATTTAGTAATAAATAGTGCTTACCAAAATTACTGAAAAATATCTTCCCAGGAGAATAATTATATTGTCAAAATATAAGCAATCGGTATAATGTGTTTGGCGGGATTTGTATATTTACTACACCATCGCGTTACAAAAACAAAATTGTGTAAGAACTTCATTAAAGCATATTTCAGTGAGAAAAACAACAGAAATATAAAAGCATGGCATACATAATATATATATACATATGTTTGTAAAATGTGTTATCATTCATACCCAATTAGTTTACTTTACTTACAGAATAAATTTAGAGCGGAGGAAAAAACTGTGCATACTTCCGCCTGCGCAAAAACAATATTCTGTACCTCCGTTTGCGGTGATCAGAATTCATGATATATCGATCGAGATAATAGAAATTTAGAAAACAATAGACATTAAATAATGTTCAACGTTAAGCAATGATACTTGCCGTCTTAGTTTTTGAGGTGACGACAAATGTCAA